AAGAGAAAGCAGGAACTCAAACAGATATGTATATACCAATCTTTATTGCAACATTATTCACAATAGCCAAAAGGTAGAAACAGTCTAAATGTTCATTAACAGATGAATGGATAAACTAAATGTAGTACATACATGTTGTTAAGTAGCATCAAGTCAGTTCTGACTCAAAGTGACCCTGTATAGGGTTTCTGAGGTGCAGCTGGTGGGTTTGAACTGCAGATCTTGTGGTTTGTAGTCCACTGCTAATCCTACTGCGCCACACCAGGAGTCCATAATACTATCTTTTGTTATCTAGTGTTGCTACAATAGAAATGCCACAAATTGTTAGTTTACGAGGTTATTGTTAAGTGCCGTTGAATGGGTTCTGACCTATAATGACCCTTTATAGGGTTTCCAAGGAGCAGCTGGTGACCTTGAACTGTCGACCTTGCAACTCAAACCAACTTTGCAGTCCAGCATATTAACCTACAGCGCCACATCAGGTGGACTCCTACAAGTCCAAATTCAGGGTGCAAGCTCTAGGAGGAGGCGTTCTCTTTCTGTTGGCTCTAGATGAAAGTCCTCGTCTCTTCTGTTCCTTGGTGATATTCATGTAGCTTGGCATCAACCTTCCCCCTTCTTTATTTGCAGGTTTGCTTGTTTAATTTCTTCAAACACACCCTACACTGATACGGTCTCTTAACATAACAAAAGAAACCCATTCCCGAATGGGTTTATAACCATGGGTCTGCTGGTGGTGTACCTATTGACTCATAGTGACCCAGTGTGGGGTTTCTGAGGCTGCAAATCTTTACAAGAATAGGAAGCCTCACCTTTTTCCCGTGGCGCATCTAGTAGATTTGAACTGCTGAGCTTTCAGCTAGCAGCCCAATGCATAACCTCTACGCTACCTGGACTCCTTAACCACAGGTTAGGATTTACAACATATATTTCTGGGACACAGCTGAATCCATAAACATACACAATGGAATAATCGTTAAGTGTGTCCAACTCATAGCAACCCTACCCTGTACAGGGTTTCTGAGGCTATAAATTTTTGCAGGAGCAGAAAGCGTCATCTCTTTCCTAAGGAGCGGCTGGTGGGCTCCAACTGCCAATCCTGTGGTTCATTGTCCAGTGCTTAGTGTATGGAGCCACCAAGCTCCCCAAATAGATGTTGTTGTTGTTACGTGCCATCGAGTTGGTTACAACTCATAGTGACCCTGCATAGAGTTTCCAAGGAACAGTTGGTGGATTTGAACCAACAACCTTGTGGTTAGAAATTCAGTGCTTATCTTACAGCAGTAAAAGGACTCCCAGCACCACTCCAGGACTCCAATAGAAATATTATTCAGTCATAAAGGAAAACAAATTTCTGATACATACTACAACATGGATGAAATAAATCAGTCACAAAAGGTAAAATGTAATACCAAGCAGCAAAGGGATCAAGTGTAGCAACAATTGTGAGGTTGGCACAGTTCTGTTGTGCATAAGGTCACTATGAATCAGTACTGACTCGAGGGCACCTAACAACAATTACAATATTTAGAATAAACAAATGTGTAGTAACCAAACTCACTGTCATCAAACCTATCCCCACTCATAGTGACCCTGTATAGGATTTTCCAGCTAAGAATCTTTACGGGAGCAAAAATCCTCATCTTTCTCCTGAGGAGCGGCTGGTGTGTTTGAACTGCCAACCTTGTGGTTAGCAGTCTAGTGCTTCTCCTGCAGTGCCACATCAGGGCTCCAGACAAGTGTATAGAAACCAAACTATATTAGTAATTACTAGCGGTAGGTGGCACTCTTAATTTCTGTTAAGGGTGATGAACATGATGAACATAATCGATCCTACAGAAGTGTCCATCTGTACAGATCGTTGGAATGGCAAATATTTTCTTACAAATACATGGGGCTTCAAAAAGTTCCTAGAGGAATAGCCAGAAATATCACCATAGAAAGCTTGTTAGTCCTTCTTCTGCCTATAACTGATTGGAATCCCAGTGAAGGAGGCTTCCTGTGGAGCCTCTGCATTACATAAGACCATAGGTGGAATCCTGACCAGCATCCAGAATCTTCAGAGGTGTGAAATTTCCTCTTGAAAAGACGGGCAGACCAGCCTGGAGCAGCTAGAACAACAGAAGATACTTCCTGAAAGAAAGACTGACAGGAAAAATACAAAACAGTATAGGCAGACCAACTGATTACTACAAGAACAAGCCAAGTTGCTCACCCAGGAGACATCAAGGCAAGTGGTCGGGTCTCCTCAGAGCAAACCCCCTTCCAAGACTAAGACTCAATAGGAATACATGCTCTGATTGGTGACCATGTTCATCACCAATAAGGGGAAGTGAGGGAAAAACAGCAATGAAGCTGCAAGCTAAGCCCTACAATATTCAATAGATTCCTATGAACCCGAGTGAAGACCTGGTTGGCCAGCAGTGTGGCAAGATCTGGGGACTCTTGGGCCCAGAGTCAGTGACATAGCCACAGAGGACTAGAGTGGAGAGTGAAGCATCCAGCTGATAAG